TCATCAAAGTTCAATTTTTTGAATAAACATTTTTTTTTGCAATTTTTTTTAACAATTCGCAAAAAATAGTGAAAAAAAAAGAGCTGAATCGCAAAAAATAGTCTTTTAACAAATATTTAATGAATTTACGGCCATTTTTATATCTTAAAACGTACCTAAGTAATTGATAAATATTAACCAATTATGCTATTTAAATTAAACTTTCTTATTTACTATCGATATAATTCTCTACAACAATAACTTTTCCAGAGTTATTATGATTTTTGACTTATAATAAATATAAAAAAACACATTAATTTATAAAAAAACAACAAATATACAATTGCAACTTAGATTCTGCAATTTTTCAACATTTCCGTAATATAGCAATAAATATAAATGAAGGTTATTCAATTTTTTTTTACAAAATTCTTAAATTAACGAAAAAGTAAATTGTTTTTATTGTCAACTTCATTTGCTTCAATATTGTATAAGTAGAAATTGCTATTTGAATAATTGCACTAAATAATATATTGATGGCATATTCGAACATAAGTAAAAAAATAATGATAATTATTTGATTGGGAAAGCAACTGTTACAATGTTATGATTGCTCTAGTTAATTAGTATGACGTTAGCGACAGTGGCGTAACAAATTCTGATTGGCCCCCCCGCAAACGATTTTAATGGGCCCTCTTTACAATAATTAAAAAGTTTATTTAATAGGTAATTTTTAAAAAAGTTTATTATAGTACTTTTAAACCTACATTAAATACATAATATTTTTTAAATTAAAATTTTTGACAGGTAGGTATAGAGTGTATACGATACACAGACATACGATAAGCAAATAAAAAAGGATTAGGTAAGAAAAATTGCTGTATCTGCAATTTTTGGTAGTAAAACATAAAATATTTAATTAATTTTGGTTTAAAAATATCTTATTCTATATATCTTTTTATATGCAGGATCATTTTCGTAATTCTATAATAAGGTAAGAAAAATTGCTGTATCTGCAATTTTTGGTAGTAAAACATAAAATATTTAATTAATTTTGGTTTAAAAATATCTTATTCTATATACCTTTTTATATGCAGGATCATTTTCGTAATTCTATAATATATTATTATTATATATATATAATATCTTATTAAGATTCTTTTAAAAAAATATTTAAATAATAATTACCTAAACATTTTCTGTTCTTATTGCCAAATTTTGCCTTTCTTAGAACGGCAGTATTATACTATTACACCAGCAATAATAACAATTTAAAAATAATAATAATTTAAAAAATGTATACCTACATATCTTACCAAGTTTAAACAGTCTTGAAAAAAAATTAAAAACATATTGTAGACAGTCTTAAAGAAGTTAAATTAAAAAAAAAATTAAAAACAAACACAAAATGCGATTGTCTAAGTATTTATAGATTTACTACAAAAAACGGTCTGATCTTCTAGAGTTTTTTTTGCAAATTCAGTTATAATATTGTCAATGTTTAATGTCTTAATAAACTCATGTTCAATACTAATAATTGATAAATTACAAAGACGTTGTTTTCCCATAGTGTTAAGAAGATATGTTTTTACTATTTTTAGTTTAGAAAAAAAACGCCTTGGGCCCCCTGACCGTCTGGGCCCCCCCGCGGTGCGGGGTCTGCGGGGGTGCTTATTACGCCACTGGTTAGCGACTCTATTGTCTTTGTAAACGGGTTTGATGCTTTATGTTATACTTAACCCCAAAATGTATTGTTTGTTGTATTTAGTGATTAGTCCGAGAACAAAGTACGAAGTGACTAGGTGCACGTTAGAGTGCCTGCAATTTATTTTTTACGGGCACGCTAGTGACGTAATAGATAAAAAACGTCATCACTGCCGTGCCGCTTAATTTAAAATTGGCGGCACAACAATAATATAATAATAAATACCTGTATACATGTTAAGGGCACGTTAGTTACGTCATAAAATAAAATCTTAATTTGCTTTGTATAAAAGTCGAAATAATTTAATATTTATCAACTTGTTTATTTATGACTATTGAGATTTTTATTAAATTTGCAATAATAATAATAATAATAATATAATAATAATAATGTTATCTGTTATTTGTTTTGATTAAAGTTTTGTTGTTTTTTTATGAATTGATGTGTTATGTTTATATTTATTTTTAGTCAGAAATCATAATAACTCTGAAAAAGTTATTGTTGTAGAGAATTATATCGATAGTAAATAAGAAAGTTTAATTTAAATAGCATAATTGGTTAATATTTATCAATTACTTACGTTTTAAGATATAAAAATGGCCGTAAATTCATCAAATATTTGTTAAAAGACTATTTTTTACGATTCAGCTCTTTTATTCACTATTTTTAACGAATTGTTAAAAAAAATTGCAAAAAAAAAATGTTTATTCAAAAAATTGAACTTTGATGACTCCTACTGGCGAACCACTACGAGTTACACAAAAAAACACAAAGACAATTTTGAAGAGCGTGAAATTCCCTATAAGGTCCATAAAACCGATTTACAATATTGTAAAGAGCGGGCGAGCATTAGAAATTTGAAAAAAAAACATTTTTTTTACATGCATTTTAAATGGGAAAACTTTAAATTGAAACTGCAAGTACTTAAAATTGATATTAAGAGCTCTACCTTGGTGAAAATTTTTTTTTCTATAGGTAGGTTAATATTTTGCTTGAGCACCGAAAAAAAAAATAACTTTGCGGAAATGAATCACCCTAATATATATATATATTTTATTTTTAGTAAAAGTATCTACTATCACTTGTATACCTTTAAAAATATGTTTTTTAGTCATTTGCTATCCTTTTGATAAAGAAAAAGTGCCCAAATATTTTTGGCCACGTTTTTGGTCAAAATACCGACTATAAAACAAAACTTCTTAATATACATGTTTTTAAAAAGCAACCCTGGTTGAAATAAATTAATTCACTTTTTTCGAATATGTCTTACTTTATTATTAATATTTAATTTAAAAGATTTTGTTTTAATTTAATACTATTTTCGGACAAATTGAGCAAAATATACTCAACAAGAACAAAGAAAATGGCGCGAAATGATTATCTGTGGAGGGTTATATTTCGATTTGTTTTGTAATTTAAAAAATGGCAAGGATAAAATCTCCTTAGGATATCTCAAGAAATCAGTAATTAATAGTACATTATCTAAAAGGCGGAGAAAGAGCCGAGCTGTGTTCGAGGCCTTAGCCGAGGCTGCAGATCTGAACGAGGCAGTTAATACGCTTTCTCTCGAGTTTGCGACATTTTGTCAGGTTTGACGTTTAACATATGTTATATTACTTATAGGTTATGTACAAAAATTTATTCTACAGTGACCTGTAAGTTTACATTGCATAGGTATAAAAGTATACGTTTGAAAAAAAAAATATTTTATTTTTTAACATAAAATAATATCAATATTATTAGCCTCAAATGCATTAATGAGATACATAAGGGTTGACAATAAATCGATAAAAATTCAATTTGCTTCCAACACTATGATAAAGTTAAATTTTACTGTCTCCATAGGAGAGAAAAAGTAGTTGTTTCTACGACTAGCCTTGCAATAGTTTATTATTATAGGAGAGATAATGCAGGCTTTTATTCATAAGGACCAGGTTTGCATCTTGAGCCGTCAGACGAGAGACGTAAATCATTCGATTAAATAATGCGCATTATTTCGAGTTTAAGACTATGCTTTTAATACTCCAATTAAGTAATTTTTATTGATAACAAAATTTATTATAACCTCACTTTTTCACGATTTTAAAGATCCCCCCTCGTAAATATAAACAAATCTGACATAACCTTACTTTTTCCCAATTTAAAACCCGATTGGTTCAAATAACAGTGAATATTGATATCAGCCTATCATTGATGCTTAACGTGAATAATGATTTTGACATTAAATGTCAAAATCGATTCGCCATGCCATCCTAAATTTACTTATTTACAATAAGCAGCTGTTAATGTTAAGGAAGAAAAAAAGGATTTTCTTCGGTGTTAAACAAAATATATTGCCAGAAAAGTCTCTTAAGTACTAGAAAAATCATACAAATATTATAAATTAAATTACCATCAGTGTAGATTTCTGCAGAAAGTTATATTTAGCGACGCTGCCGTTTGTCTGTTTTGTAGATGACATGCATGTCAAAATTAAATAATTTTAAATGTCAAAATTTGCTTTTTATTATTTTTTTGCAGTCACGTTGTGTAGGAAGAAAAATGGAAACTTGGAAACCAGGAAGCTAAAGCACGCCTGTACATTTCTTCTGGAAAAATGTCACTTTACTGCCTAGGTCTACAATATACTATTTACAGTCTAGACGATAATTATCGTATACACTTGATACTTTTAAAAGTGATTAATTATAATTAATCACATAAGTATTAAGTCACTTAATTTAAGGTTTAAATTATAGAATGCTTAAAGATAAAATGAATATTTTCATTTTTTAAATTTACACAACCTACAAATGTACCTACCTATTAAAAAAAATCTGAATTAAACTTTTTTAAAAAGTCAAAACTTCTTCCTTCCATGGTTTATGTTTATTATTAAAACGTTTTTATGGATTTATTCTCTAATTTGGTAACAAAAAACGCATTAAAAAGCTCGATTGTGTTATTTTTAGGCAAATTAAATTTTATTGATTGAATGGAGCCCTACATTTTTCTCCGTCATTAAATTAAACTTGTTGCATTGAGTAAAGTGCTTGTTGTATAACAGTTGCTTTAGATGCCTGTCTTGTAGGTAAAACAACTTTTATAGAACCCGATATAATTAAAACCAGGTAGGTACCTATATATAGTTATATTTGCATTAAGGTATTTGCATTAAAGACAAAAAACAAAAAATGAATCCTGAAATACAACTTGTATTATACAAGAATGCAATGTCAACTGTCAAACTTTTTGAATAAAATCGATATGCATTCTCCGGGTGACAGTTCAAGAAACTTAATCACAATAATAATAAATTTTAATAAATGTTGCTTACACTTCTAAAATACGATCTCCTTTCCGGATTCCGGCCTGTTCCGCTGCACCCCTGTCTAGGACCGCACTGACATGCTGAAGGGGGGCGTACAGCTCCCCATTAATGCTCCTTAGTTGGCCCCCCTCACTAACTTGTCCACGCACATTGAATCCGAAACCAGTGTCAGTTTTATTTATTGTTATTACCCGGGGTCCATTTGGCACTTTGTTGTTTTCGTTTCGGGCACTATTACGAACGACCGCATATGAGTCGGCCATATTTTGACGTGACTCCTTTAGAGCACGTTTACCTTCTCCGAGCGTTTCCCCTTCCCTTTGCTTTAGCTGCTCGATTAACTGACCTTGCGTACTACCGCTGCATTGCCAAATCTATTCGCATTGCCCGCACGATTTTAAATAATTTGAACAATTATACAATATTTGATTGGTAAATCGAAAAAAATAATTTGTATACCTATCTTAAAAAAGTAATAAATTTAATATTTGTTAAGTCCACGGTCTTATAATGTAGTTACGTATTTGCAAAGAACATAACTATGAGGCGCCGTTTGTGCCATAATTATAAATAAAAAATTAATAAATATAAAACAATATTTTAAAAATATATAAATGTAAATCAAAAATTATAAAATATTACTTAAAGAAATAAAATTATAAATTGAGATACATATTTTATCAATAAAATTTATTTATATATATTTTATCACACAAAGTTATTTATATTTCCTTAACCGTTATCATTTATATTTTTAGCAGTTTATCCATATATATTTTAGCATGTGCCATAATATATACTGGGTTGCATACGCAGCGGGCGCTTACTAATGAAGTTAGCGTCTTTCACATTACGAGTGGCAGCACTGGAAGAACAGTTCAACTGTCAGTGACAGTCTGTCACATTTTTAAAACAAAAGTGCAACAAAAGCGTTTTGTGTTGTGTTTTGCCGCAAAACTTTTGCGTTCTCGTGATACCTGTATGTTTGTGGCGTGTTACATACATTGGTTCAATTCATAGATATAAGGCAAAGGTGTTCTTTGGATAAAACGTTCAGTCAACAGTATAATATAAATTCCAAATTATTCCATAAGCTTTGTTTAAATTATGAAGAATTCCAGCATCAATAGCTTGATAAATACCCATAAAGACAGCAAAAGTTTAGCAGTGATTCTCCAATTTAACAGCACCTTCTTCGAGAAGTCGAATATCAATATTATTCTGCATTATTAGGTCTTCCATTTGGCCTACATCATCAACTAATTGTGCAAAATATTGTTGAACCTCCATATTCTTAATTTGTAATTCCCAAAATCAGATTTATAACTCAACGACCGCACCTTTTGTATTATAAAATTTATGCTATAAAGTTTATATTAGAAACCTAATAAAAAAACTCGCCACAACCTTTTTTTTTTATTTATTTATTTATTAACCTTAAAAGAATACAAGATTCCATATCAGGTAGGTACTTATATATCACAAAAACTATAAACAAACTAGGTAAATTTATGAGTAAATATTCCTAAGTTAACATCACAGAAAATATGAGTAGAAATATAAATATAACAAAACTATGAGTATAACATCTGTTTATATAATTTTACACATGAGTCAAATCACTTTCTTAATTTCATATAATACCTAGTCCTTAACATGTGAAGAAAAAGCTTTTAGGTTTTGTTGCAACTTAATATGTTTCGGAAGTTCATTAAACCAATTCAAGGCAGTTTGGGTTATTCTTCTTTTGCCAAAACTTGTATTTGTATTTGCTATATAATACTGTGAGTTATTTCTTGTAAAATATTCGTAAATATCACAATTTCTAGTTAATTCTACATCAGTACAAATCAGACCATTTTTAATTTTATATATTATTTTGACACTGTCCATTTTAATTAATTCACTTACGTTTAAAATTTGTAGTTCATTATAAAGCTCTTTTGTACATGTTCTGGGTGATTTGTTAAATAGAAGTTTTAGAATTTTATTTTGTGTAGTTTGAATGGTTTTTGTCCTTTTTTCTTGCCTGGCCCCAGAAAGCAGGTAGATACAGTAAGTGAGAGTTAGTATACGCATTATCATAGAGAAATGGTTTTTCTATGCGCATTATATACCATATGTTTTGTTTTGTTATTTAATAACTTGGAGTTTCTACGGAGATAATGACATATTGTTGATATTCTGGTTTTAAGTTTCACGAAAACGCAAAATGACGCAAAACAGTGTTTTAAAATCACTTTTGTTTAAACATGAACAACTTTGACAGTTGAAATGTCCTTCCAGTGCTGCCACTCGTAATGTGAAAAGACGCCAACTTCATTAGTAAGCGCCCGCTGCGTATGCAACCAACTGTATATTATGGCACATGCTAAAAATATATATGGATAAACTTCTAAAAATATAAATGATAACGGTTAAGCAAATATAAATAACTTTGTGTGATAATATATATTTATATATACATATTTATATATATATATATATATAAATTTTATTGATAAAATATATTTACGCATATTATTATATAAAAATTTTGATTTACATTTAGGTATATATTTTTAAAATATTGTTTTATATTAACATATTTTTTTATTTATAATTATGGCACAAACGGCGCCTCATACATAACTATGAGGCCTTAATTATAAATAAAAAATTAATAAATATAAAACAATATTTTAAAAATATATAAATGTAAATCAAAAATTATAAAATATTACTTAAAGAAATAAAATTATAAATTGAGATTTAACATTATCAAATGCGTAAATATATTTTATCAATAATATTTATTTATATATATTTTATCACACAAAGTTATTTATATTTCCTTAACCGTTATCATTTATATTTTTAGCAGTTTATCCATATATATTTTAGCCTGTGCCATAATATATACTGGGTTGCATACGCAGCGGGCGCTTACTAATGAAGTTAGCGTCTTATCACATTACGAGTGGCAGCACTGGAAGAACAGTTCAACTGTCACATTTTTAAAACAAGCGTTTTGTGTTCTGTGTTTTGCCGCAAAACTTTTGCGTTCTCGTGATACCTGTATGTTTGTGGCGTGTTACATACATTGGAGTTATTGCATCAAAAATGAAAATCCCTAAAAACCTTTTTATTGTAATCTAGAGGTAAAAACACATTGCGAAAATATTTTTTTATATTCCAAAAGTTCAACCCGGCCCCAAAATATCAAATTGAAAAAAAGGTACTTTTCAAACGTTCCGAACTCCCGCCATATTGCATGACGTCATAAGCTTCACCAGCTGTCAGAAATCAAGATGTCAACAAATAATAAACACCGATAAGTTTATGTTTAACATGGAAAACGCGAAACCAAAAATTGGTTGTAAATATTGTTTTGTGCCTTGTTGTACAAATACAACCTGGAAAACTCCTGGGAAAGTTGTCCCTTCAATTATCAAAAGCAAAGTTTATGACCCTACACTGAGAGTAGTTACGGCTCAGCCGTATTTTCTTGAATTTATTAATATTTAACATACCTATTCAAACCATATACCTAGTAAACGACATTTTATTTTACTTACATTAAAATGATCCTTAAAATGAGCAATAAAATGGTGACGATGTTTTGATATCGCGCCGAGCTATTTTAATCCACTTTATCCTTATTTTCCCTTTTGGCACGGTGATAAACCTTTTCCCAGGAGTTTTCCAGGTTGTATTTGTACAAGGCACAAAACAATATTTACAACCAATTTTTGGTTTCACGTTTTCCATGTATAAACATAAACTTATCGGTGTTTATTATTTGTTGACATCTTGATTTCTGACAGCTGGTGAAGCTTATGACGTCATGCAATATGGCGGGAGTTCGGAACGTTTGAAAAGTACCTTTTTTTCAATTTGATATTTTGGGGCCGGGTTGAACTTTTGGAATATAAAAAAATATTTTCGCAATGTGTTTTTACCTCTAGATTACAATAAAAAGGTTTTTAGGGATTTTCATTTTTGATGCAATTACTCTATTCATAGATATAAGGCAAAGGTGTTCTTTGGATAAAACGTTCAGTCAACAGTATAATATAAATTCCAAATTATTCCATAAGCTTTGTTTAAATTATGAAGAATTTCAGCATCAATAGCTTGATAAATACCCATAAAGACAGCAAAAGTTTAGCAGTGATTCTCCAATTTAACAGCACCTTCTTCGAGAAGTCGATACTCGATACAAAGTTTAAATGTCGCACCCGATACATTTTAAGAAAATTTTAGAAAATAAAGTAGACCTACTTTATTTTATACCTGTATACAATATTTGTGCATTTAAAATACGTGCTTGTTTGAGGTTACTATTCAAGTTTTACACAAAAAATTATTATATGCTTTCATCTGAAATTTTACATTATCAACTTTAGAAGCCAACTTGGTCGCATTTGCCGATTTTCTAACGTGACGTTATAAAAGGTTTTCTATACAAGTTTTGACAGTTTGTTTGAGTTAAATATCTAATTTTTTACATTATTTTTGTATATTAACGTATTTTGATATGAACCATCCCATTATTATCATAAAAAAACGCAAGGTCAGTGTCGCACCCGTTACAATTGAAATATCCCAAAACAAACAAAATAACAAAAAATATGTTGGTATAGTAAATTTAAAAGTAAACTACGTACACGTCATCAATAAAACAAAAATTTTACGCATTGGTACCAACACTAAATGACTAAATCGAAGTCTGTAATTGAATATTTGAATGCATTTTAACCAAATTAAGTTGGCAACAATTGTGAGGTTGTCATGTTTACATTCAAATTTTTCATATTTAAATGACACATAAAAAAGAATTTGACGTTTTAGAATTTCGAAGCTGTCAGTTGTGTTTTTGAATATTTCGTTTAATTCGTGTATTATTTCGTTTATTTTGTTTGTTGTTTGTGTTATTTTATATCGTTTAAGTTTTCATTGCCGTTTTTGTGTTTGTTATATATCGTTTTTTTGTGTTTCCTATATTTAAAATGCCGAAGCATTTAAATAGTCGGAGTCAAGAGTTGGTGTCATCCTTAATACGCTATTTTGAGGCAGAACGGGATAATAATGGACCTTTAACAGCTGTTAGAGAGGTAAATAGGATTATTATTAATTATATATTAGAATATTTAACAAAATATATGTTGGATACATGAAATAATAATATATATACCAGAAACTGACTTTAGATGGCAAAACTTTTGGGTTTTATATCAGAAAATGTCTTTAAAAATGGCTAAAAACATACTTTTGGCGGTAT